GRAWWTWWYASMKCACATCACCCTGTCATCTATAAACAGRCARTAATTAATGACAATGTTTTCAATTCCTACAAGGTATTACCATGTTGGTTGTTGCGCTATTTTTGTCAGCTCGTCTTGGTATCTATCAGGTAATTCATGTATAACTTTTAACTTTTTTGCCTTTATTTTTATCAATTTCTTTGTTGTTGTTGGTTGTTTTTGTTGTTGTTGTTGTTGTTGTTGTTGTTGTTGTTGTTGTTGTTGTTTTGTTTTGTTTCATTTACCTTATTTCCAACTCTGTCTCTTTTGTCTTGTAGGAACAGCTTTACAGTCAATTTGGTAAACATCCAACGGAGGCTCTCTTCTATGCTGTGAGTTCATTCATTCATTCATTATCCCCATCTTCCCTAGTGGGAAATAGGGCCGCGACACGGTGACGCCACTCTTGGCGGTCCTTTGCAACTTTCAAGGCCTCGCCCCAAGTCAGTCCCATCTCAAGCAACTCAGCCTGGACGGTTCTTCGCCAAGTTGTTTTAGGCCGTCCAGACTTACGCTTCCCAAGTTCAGGAGTCCAAAAAGTTGATGTTTTAGGGATACGTTCCTGTTCCATCCTGAGGACATGGCCCAGCCACTTTAGACGGCGGCGTTTAATCTATTGGGTGATGTTATTTGATCCCGTTTTACAGTAGAGATCTTCGTTGGATATTTTCTGGGGTCAAAAGATACGGCATATCTTCCGCAGACATCCGTTATGGAAGGCACTGATCTTGTCTGATCAGTCGTTATAATACTTGAGCAAAGTGTTAAGACGTTTTTAGACAAAATTGTTAGCAGGTTTCATGAAAAAAAAACTAGAGCTGTTTCTTTTGTAAATCTGTTATGACTTCTAAACAAAACGTTCGAAAAGCGTTCGTTTCAGTTAAAATCCCCTGTACAGGCCCCTGACCAGAGAATGTATCGACGCATTTGATATTGATGTCTGCACCATTCCTTAATAACCATCTCTGTTTCCCAGCATGCCTTGCCACTGCCTGGTTTCTTGTTTCTTGGTAGAGACATCTATAAGCATGTGATGCTGTTCACTGCATCAGGTAATCCTCCTTTGATTCAACTATTTATTTTGTTATTTGAATAGTATTCATTGCGCGTTTATTGGTTGTTCGCTTTTAAAAGCRCTTACCAGTGTTCCATCAACTTTCGATCATAATTAGTAGAGGGAGACTAGTCTCCCTCTACTAACTATGTTTCGATGTAACGGATACCTTTGTATAAATTGAATGGTCGTCCTCGGATTTGCCACCCCTTTATTAGTTCTTTATTACGGTAGAATATAAACCAAATAACGTGAATAGTTCGTTGYACACATACTGAGGCTGACAAAGGTCCACCAGAATGACTTTCCACAGTCGAAACAATTTCCTTTCTTTGGTCTGTTATTTCTAAGACGATCTAGAATGCAGCCTCAGTCATGTGGTCATTGGTATTTCTTACTTCATTGCAAACTTAGGAATTTTATAAAGCCTATTTCAATCAACTTCTCAATGGCCTGAAATAGCAGTGAAATAATTACATATGACAAAAAAATATGAAAAGGCTCCGGCAAAGCATCAAGGGTGATAGTAGGGCTTTAATTGTTTGTATACGGTTTGGATGCATTCTATATAAGGAAAGAGTTGTTGTTGTTTTCTTTTCTTTTTCTTTTTAATTTACTTTTTTTTTCTGTTTCCTCTTCTAGAACCATTGTACTTGTATGGTATGAGTCTCATCATCCCAAAACTATGGCTATACACACTGGGGAACGTCGTCACGCAATACATTTGCATCCGAGCTGTCTATGTGTTGACGTCAGAGACCACCTCACTGACTGTCACGCTAGTGGTCACKCTACGCAAGTTCTTTAGCCTTATGTTTTCTATTTTCTACTTCAAGAATCCCTTCACTGTGTATCATTGGATTGGCACTGTTCTGGTGTTTACCGGTACTTTTATTTTCGTGGAATTGTTTCAGAAAATACAAGAAAGTTTGAGTCCGCCAGTGAAGAAAGAAAAGTCGCAATAATTCTCATTGCTTTTTTACATGTAGCATAATAGAGCAGAGTCACTTGAACCACGAAACAGAAACTAAATACTTAGTACCTAATAGCCACTATTTAGACACTATCACCGAACCAGAACAGTACAAAGAGATTACTTTGATTGTTAAAGTGGCCCCTTGGGTATTGCTTATTGGATCAAATAAACTGTTCTRGTTCWGTGYTAACGACTATTAGGAACTAATAGTCCCTATTAGTTAGTACTTTTTAGTTCTTATTTCATGGTTCATGTGACTCTGCTCTAGGCCTTATTCAAGATAGTCGACTTAAAGGTTTTCGTATTTTAATGCAAATAAGCCACGCGGTCTTACAGGAGGTTCTCTTATCGGATGTCCTTTTCAATCGTTTTTTATCGTATTTCTTTTTTAAGATATGTTTTTTATGAAAGCTGCCTTCTAGTTAAAAATTTATCCCACGAGCAAGCACAACACGTACATTTAACTCGTGGATTTCGCACATGAAGTTCGACATGTGACAGTGACTAACGTGGCGATATTTCTCTTGTGACATTTTGTGCGCAGAGGTTCTCGGGTGCACATAAGCCCTTTATAAGCTTGGGGACAATTCACTTTCAGTGGAGATTTTTCACAATAAAATTTTACATTTTCTACTTCTTGCTGACAAGACAGTTTTTCGGCCAAAGCTGGTTTGATAGTACATGTACGTTAGATGCTTATTTGAAACGAGCTCACGCGTGGAAAACCAAATACTGATTTCTTTGCAGAAAGCCTTGAAAATCGTATCACRAAAAATATTGTATAACAACCTTTGCAGAAGTAGATATGATAATTTAATCAAAAGTGATGAAGCTATGAACAGATAAATTCMAAGGAATTTAAATTATACCATTGACAACTATTTATTGTTTCTCCGTGACGGATCCATCATTTCTCAGAAACAGGATCAAAATTTTAATTTTCACTTTTTTKCTTTTACTATAATGTTTACTTGTCTCACTTGAGGTGCAAAAACGGGTACAGCCGAACCACAATAACCCCCACTGTTTCGAATGAAAATGGCACGAGATAACATGCTAAATTTCCTTCCTTTTCTAACTTTCAATGAGAGTGTTACTGTATAGTTTAGTGCGGGTTTTAATTTTATGGATTTTATCATGATTTCAAAATCAACTTTATGTAATTTTATAGTGTTGTCTTAATTACCTTTTTGTAAAATCTACAAATAGAACAATAAAATTTAGGTTTCACTCTATTAGTATTTATATAAGTCCATACATTTGTGTCGACTTGCAATAAAGCATTGTTGTAATCTGAAGCTTAAAGGGATTGAAACGTGCGACCGCTGTGCATTTCTTGTTACATTTGACCCTAAAGATCAATAAGACTAAAAGCTGGTATGACACTAAATCTGAATTGTTTTCTTCTGTCCTTTACTGAGATAGATATTGCCCAAAAATGGTCATTTTCAATGCCGGTCAAATCGCGGAAATCCCCTWCTCTGTATTCAGGTACAAACAATTTTATTTTTATTGAGTTTCGTCCAATCAGAACAAAAGTTGTCACGTGAACATATTCAAAGCTTAGACATAATATTTTATATGAAAAATTTCGAGATTTTTTCAAGAATCTCAATTTTTTGCCTTTGTTTCCACTGGGTTGCGTAAATTTGCGTGCAAGACCGTATTCGTCCCCGTTATACTTTACAAAGGTAATGATTGTGAAGGGCGTTGTTTTTGTGATGTCATAGTCAGTCCCAGGCTAATTAGGTCAAGTAATTATTGGTCTGTGCCCAGCTCAAYCAATCAAATCATTCCCTTGTGACTCCAATAAATACTTCGATATTTTTAGAGTCAATTCCCAGAAATTTAAGAAAATAATTTAATAAAACCAAATTTATTCCTTGTTGACTTCATTCTTCACTGAAGCTCATCTGGTGCGGTACTCCTCAAGAAAAAATCGCTTTTAAAGGATGAACTCGAAGACCGAACAACCCAACACGGTATGTCGAAAAATGTCGACTCAGCAATCATCTCGGGCAATTTATCTTAGCTTCATGCAGTTTTTTTGCACACTTTACTTGAATTTATTACTTGTTAAAGTACATTATTTCCCTTACCCTTCTGTTCTAATATAGGCCGAGGACCAAGAGACCATTGAACTAGGCACCAAAGATTTGGTCATCCAATTTTCTTTGAAGAAAATTGACCAGGGAGTCACTTTGAGTCAAGTTATTCATCGTGTTGAGGTAAGCTTATCATTTTCGATCCGCGTGCGACTGAGTTTCTTATGAAAAACTTTCGCAAAATAGTTTAGTTTATAGTATAGATACAAATTGTGTAGAATTTTTTATATATTTAGTTTTTTTTCTGAAATATCGTTTAATTTGCTCTTAGAGTTTTATTACAGTATCTCAGTTTAATGAAAATCAACCCAACTTGGACAGTCCTGTTTTACTTATCGAGCACGAAATTTTCATTGCGCAAATCTTTCACTTTCGGTTTCAAAATTAAAATGCTTCAAGGAATGCATCGCTGATCGATTTATTTAAGCAAATCTAAGAACTATTCAACATATATATATATATCAATAATAAAATAAGAATCTATTTTCATATCAATAGTATATTTATCATGGATCGGACAAAACGCTGAAAATGCATGTTTTAACTTYCCTACATGAAATTCTTTTGATTTATTGAAGTTATTATTATTCAACTTCAACCACGAATAATACGGGTGTATTTTGTTAAACATAAAAAAATATATAGCGAGTTTACTATAGATTATTTTCTCTTTCAATAATGTAGTTTCGAATTCTCCAATGCTCTGTGTTAGCCTCATTTGTGTGCAAAATATTCATAGTTGTGAGAATAAAAGTGTGAGATTTCAAATCAATTCCATGCGTTTTCTCTGGCTTTCAATGAAACRAAAGAATATGTTGCTTGGTTTTGAGGCTAACGCAGAGCAAACAATAACTCGAAATCGGAGTATTCAACTTATCAACTTTAATATATTTTATCACGAAAGTGATTTGATTTGGATGTCACGCTAAAATTCATGCACTCGAAAATGTAAGGAAATGGCTCTAAAACAACTTCGATTGATTTGCAAAATATATTTTTTGAAATCGATCGGTGATGAAAATAAACAAGACCCAAATACAAATGCGATCTAAGTACTCTCGTACAAATTTCACCGAAATATTTCATTTTCAGGAGAAAAATGGCATCGTTGTCAACATCCATTCACGCCAAATCAAGAGCGGTGATAAACTGGAATTTCTCACTGAAATAGCTGGAATAGCAAAGGAAGATGAAGCCCAATTCATGGAAGCAATTCAGCCACTGGTTGATGACTTATCGCAACATAAAATCACAGGTACTCGCTTCGTATGGCGAAATACTTTTTCTTTCTTTCCATTTTGATCCTTTAAACTCTTTTTCTTAGTTTTTCTTCTTAGTTTTGATAGATTTGTTTGTTCGTTTTTTTCTTTCACTTTCTTTTTACATTGAGGGGGAGGGGTGGGTCGTTGCTTTACTTTTACTTCCTTCGTCAGTTGCTTGTTTCGCTTTTGTGAGTGCATGTCCAACCTTGCTAATGTTTCACTTTTAATATTCCATTGTTTGTTTTAATTGTATATTATATTTCATTATCTAATGTATATCACTTGGTGTGTTCATTCTGATATTATTCATTTGTCTATAAAAATTTAAAAATATTTGTCATGGGATATGTTCTGTTTAT